CTGCACGGCTCGAACCTCGCAGCTCGCACATGGTATGGGCTCGGAGGTGCCTGCTTGAAGTTCCTTGAGAGATAGGCCCAGGCATTCAGAATTAGCAAAGCTAGATGAGAGTTTGCCTGGACACCGGTTTCATTATTCAGGGCTGTGGAGGGCTGTCGGTCGCTGCTTGAGACTGACTCAAGCATGCCTTCAGCACATGGTTTCTCCCTGAGCGACTTCCAGTCGGACCTCGTGGGCCCGTATGCAACTTGAAGGCAAACTATGCAACTTGGTGCCGGTCAGGTTGGCGGATGCTCAACAGTAACAGTTTTGCACTGGGTGGTATTCGTATATTGGTAGTGCAGAAGTGCATGCGTCGATGCAAGTGGTCTGCGGTTTGCATCTCTCGGAATTGGAAGTATTTCTCCGTTTGGGGACTCTGTTGCTCAGGTCAAGACTTGCCAGCGCTCGCCTTTGAGCAGCTTCTTTGGTGAGACCGTGCCATCAGACCTCACCACCTTCAAGGCGGTCCGGCGGGCGTTCTGTTGAGGAACCGCTTTCATGGCCCTGTGCACATGGCCTTGTCCGAAAACTGTGCATGAGGTGCCCTGGTGTAGAGATTTGTCAGTCTGGAGGGCCTTGGGCAGGTGGTCTTCGAGCCCATGCGACGAACTCCAACATCCTTCGATCTTCAGGCGTTCTTCACATCCCCGAAGGGCATTGCATGCTCAGCGAAGCTCGCTGCAATCGTAACCACCGAAGATACTTCAGGACGTCCGTGCATACTTGGGCTGATTGTGTGCTGGACATGTTCAGCGTGCAGTCTGAGTCTACTTAGTCTAATTACCTTGGAGCCGGAAGCCTGATGCAGGAGATAATAATGACGAGATTCTTGCCAAAGTGGAAAAAGTCGCCAAGGGAGTTGGGCCGGATTGTCTGATGGCGCTGCAAAGCATGGAGGGAACTCCCGCCGAAGCCCTGGCAAAGATTCAAGCCGGAGTGGCGAACTCCCTGAAATGAGAGTGCTGCCAGCTTTGCACAACTGGCAAGAATTTGCGGCGGAACTGTGCAAGCGGCAGACCGAGTTGCCGCAGAGAGAAAATCGAATCAGAAGCGGGATGCCATGATATCTTGAGTGACTGCTGCAGCTACGATGTACATTGCTATGTCCACAGTCTCGCTTGCTGCCGGAAGTCTGCCGTTTCAGGTAGAGTGGTGGACACGGGGTTTGCTAGTTATTTCGTCTTACCATAGCTAGTCATAGGACCAGCATAGGTCTTCGTTCCGTCCCTGCCTGTGTACCGAACCTACATATATCGGCCGCGCGGTGAGATACCCATGCATCGCGTCGGCTTGCTGCTCGCTGGGCTTGTTGCAGCGAGCGTTTCTGATCCAGCTCCTCAGCCGCATCGGAGCAGAGTGCCAGTCTGCCAGGTGGAAGGGTGTCTTTCCTCTGAGGCACGGGGTGCGGAATGCTGGGACGACCAGTGTGAGGCTCAGGCGGAACGTGGTTCTTCGGCTAGGGCTCGGTTTCCGTGAAGCGCTTCGACAACTTTTTTTGTTTCGAGCCCGAGCAGTGTAAGTAATGGACCAAGATTTAAGACTGCTGCGACTGCTTACTGCAGAAGCATGGGAGGTGGAGTTGATCCAAACCTCCTCCCTTCTGGAGCGCCGATCCGAGTCCAAGGCCTTCTGAGTTCAGAAGCCTGGTGGTATCGTGCTGCAATAATGGCCCGCATTCGTTTGCAATACTTGTATGGCAAGCTTGCGATGTATGTAGACAGACAAGAACCCTGAGGGGTCACTTGTGATGGGGTGTTTTGCACGTTTTACAGTGGTTTTTAGCACGTTTTGAAGAAAGCGTTCAATTCAAACTTTATGTGGCCGACGAGGTCACACTTGGTCTCAAGCTTTGCGAGTCGAACTTTTTATATTGGCGTTACTTGCGTCTCCGCCGGCCCGTGCCAGAGACCCCAATTTGCAAAGGACCTCTCCTCCTCATCTTGGGCTTGGGATGGCTTGGGTGCTCTTATATAGGATGTTGAATCTGACCTCAACAGCATTCAACAGCCCCTCAGACATGTCAACCGCCCTGGCTCTCCAACATCCACTCTGTGCGTTCAGGAGTTCCCGGCTCCTGAAGATGTGCCCGGGCCTCGGTTTTCAGCATGGCATGGCATGGCCGCATGCATGGGGTGTTGAGTCTGAAGGTCCGAGGATTATCGGGACCCTGCCATCGATTCTCTCTCCGCATCATCCTTTGTGGCCGTCGCATCCGAGGAGGCACTCGAGTCCAGAGCTGATAGAGCATCCCAACATGTTGCCAGGACGACGTTGCTGAAACTAGTCGACTCAGGCTTCAAAGCTAAAGCTTGTGGGTCCTCCCGGAACCAGCCGAAACCAACAGCAGCAGTGCGTGTCAGATCGGAATGTGCTTGCTGTGGCAGTGTTCACCGACTGCATGTGCGTAACCGAGAATCTTGAATCAAGCGACCCCAGCATGCAGGTCAGACGCTCGCTGATAGGAGAACTTCTGAGCCGAGACGTCGAGGCAGGAAAGGGACGACCAGCCTTACACCAGAGCCTCTGTGTAGATTATGATTCGCGTTCTGGGTTCCACTTTCACTTTCATCATCGCAATATGGCTATGTGGTGCCTAAGCAGTATTTTGTAGTGCTAACTGTATGTTAGTCTTAATACTATATTCATGGTTGTGGAACCTTTGTGCAAGTGCTTGAAGGAGTCGAGGTGTTATTGGTTCAACATCAACTCATGTCGGTACATGTTATGCTTCAGTTTTCATGCCAATCGGTTTTAGTCTCGTCAGGGTGTGCTGCCGTACATAGCATGTCTGTGTTTGCGCTCACATCTATTCAGGTTACTACGGCCTTGTGTTGGATGCCAGTGTAGTCTGCATATGTAAGTGGGTCTGCATCCAGCACGGACATTTTGTCATTCTTGTACATGTAGACATTTATCCTCGTATGTATGTATGTATGTATGTCTACATGTCCGTATTTCTGTCTGTCTGCCTGTATGTATGCATGTACGTATGTATGTATGTATGTATGTATGTAATGTGTTTATGTGTGTAGGTGTGTAGGTGTGTATGTGTACGTGTGTATGTGTATTCGTTTGTGTAATTGTATGTGTAGTTGTATGGGTATGTGTATGCGTACACATATGTGTATGTATGGGTATCCGTATGTGTATATATATGTGTGTGTGTGTCTGTGTGTATCTGTGTATCTGTGTATCTGTGCATCTGTATGTATGCATGGATGGATGTATCTATGCGTGTATGTACTGTATCAAGCTTTCTATCCATGCGTGAACGGGCGTACTTTTTGACGCTGAAACATGGCAATGCCGTACCGAGCCTCGCATCATGACCTGAAGCCTGTGCAACCCCGGCAACAGTTTTATCTTGAGATGAAACGGTACACATGCTGGCTGCGCTGGCAACCTGTGCATCAGCGGCCGTGGCCCTCAACTTGTGGCTGATGGGAGGAGTGGATGTGCAGGCAATGAAATGCGAACCAAAAGTGTAAGGCAGATGTCCTGGACCTGGGCCAGCATTATCCTCCCCGTAGACCCGCATGCAGGCATGCACCCGCACACACGTACACACACGTACACAGACACACACACACACACACACACACAGACACACAGACACACAGACACACAGACACACAGACACACAGACACACAGACACACAGACACACAGACACACAGACACACAGACACACAGACACACAGACACACAGACACACAGACACACACACACAGACACAGACAGATACACACACAGACACAGACAGACACAGACAGACACAGACAGACACAGACAGACACAGACAGACACAGACAGACAGACAGACACAGACAGACAGACGCAGACAGACACACACAGACAGACACACACAGACAGACACACACAGAGCCAGACACACACAGAGACAGACACACACAGAGACAGACACAGAGACAGACACAGAGACAGAGACAGACACAGAGACAGAGACAGACACAGAGACACACACACACAGACACACACACACAGACACACAGACACACAGACACACAGACATACAGACACACAGACACACAGACACACAGACACACAGACACACAGACACAGAGACACAGAGACACAGACACACACACACACACACCCGCGCGCGCGCGCGCGCGTGTGCTGGCAGGGACACACGAACATGTCCAGGGTGTTGTGTTGAGAGTTATTGTGTAAATGTCGTCTCGGGCAGCAGCAGCATCAAGGAGGCTCAATTGCAGTTGCGCTGTAATGTGTCTAGATATGCAAGTACTGCACAAACATTCGTAGCAGACTCTTGCTTGGATGGTGTCTTTCATCATGTTCTTACGTGCTTTCTCGCACACTTCCCGTGGTGCTAGCTCTCATACCGGTTGTTTGCTTTGTCGAGCCAATGCCATTTATATTTCTATCTCCAGTGTTGATTCCTTTTGTGCCGCTGTTGCGATAATCTCGTACATGAATACAAGAGAGTCACCCAACTACATAAACCCACCTGCAGCCAGAACCAATCGACACAGTGTTCACACACCATTTCTGTGCATAAATACTTGCATAGACACCTTTGTACCTTATCAACAGCAACGTTGCTAAATTCGGTTTTAGATAGCAGCCTCGCTCATTAGCTGAGGACGTGGCAATGGATACTTCGTGGTGTGCAGCCGCAAGCTCTTACTTATGCTAATATCAACCGACAAGTCGACACACGCATATGTTGTATTTACGCACGGGTTGGCTATGTTACTCTGTCTTGCTTGTTGGATTGTCACCTCGTGCCGTTTTCTCGCTATACGTCAGCATGTGCGCGGCGATGCTCTAAGGAGGCGAGCGCATGCTTTGTTTCAGTGCATTGTTGCACAATGCTGCGTAGGCAGTGAGTATATGTATGTACGATTTATACGCATCCGACTATAGGAGCAGACGTATGCATGTATATAAATGTCAATGTATTTAATTACGGTAGATAACATACACGAAGATATATACATATGCCATTTTACATGTATGTGCATGTGTATGTGTATGTGTGCATGTCTTTATGTTTGCAAGCATGTCTGTGTGACGTGTATGTGTGTGTGTGTGGACCTCTGTTACCAAGAGGAACCGTTTTTGAAACACGTTGGACAGTAGTGCTGAATTGCTGAAAATAGCAGGGGGGTACGGCTCTCTGATGCTACCGTACCCAACGAAGCTATGCATCAGAGAGGGAAGCCAAGCCTGATCAGCTTGGTGTACCTGCAAGTGTGTCTGCAAGTGTCTCTGCAAGTGATATGGCTTGGGGCTAAGCCTAGAACCCCAATGGAAATCGAATGTGCAGGTTTGGAGGAGTTTGCCTTGTACAGTGAATAAGTCTGAGATCAAGCGAAGATGAGCCTTGAGGCCAGATTGGTACCGGACCCCCCTGGAAGCTTCATGCTTTCGAGATACATCAAGCTGTGCTTGATAACCAAATTGATTAGTGGCTGCGCGATGGATGTCTAAGTGTGTCCCAGGTAGTTACAAGCTGGTCTTGTATTCGTTTACCGCGCTACCTGCGGCGGGGTTAGCCCGTGCGAGTACCTGCCAGGGTGGATCTGATAAAGGCAGGGATACATTGTTTTGGGCCCGTCGTGGTCCTCACAGATTCGACTGAATTTGCTGCTCCGATGGTGCAGACATCTGATTACCTCAGTCGTGATGTTTTCTCCGCTCCTGACTTAATGTCAGGTTTGATGCCAGGTTTCATTGCAGGTCCTGAATTTTTGCAGATCCGATGGAACCAACGGCTTTTCTATCCGCAGACCACGATTTCAGCTCCGAGACACAAGCCTTTAGCAATCTCTTGCGATCATGTCGTGGACCCGTGAACAAGATTGGGCCAAGTCGTCCTGGGCTAGTTCGTCTTGGGAGAAGAAAGGATCGTCGGGTTGGAACAACCGTGACTGGCAAAAATCTCCTCAACAGCCTGTTCCCAGCGCCAAT